CACCACCACCACCACCACCACCACCACCACCACCACCACCTCCTCCTCCTCCTCCTCGTACGCCTTCTACCCGAATGTGCGTCCGGAGGTTGCGCGGCGTCGACGGGCGCGCGCGCGCGCCTACCGCATCGCACCGTATCTCGCCGTACGTGCCGTCGCACGAGGATACGCAGCGTATTTTTCCTTCTTTTTGCCCTTCTTTCCTCTCTTCCTTCTCTATTTCTCCCAGCTTCTCTGTCTCGTTTACTTGTCTTTTTCCGATCGAGGCCCACGGCGCGCTTCACTTAAAGTCCATCTTCCAACAGCGCCTACCGTGTGCATGCGTGCGTGCGTGCTTGCGTGATTACCCGAAGACCGTCGAGGAGAAGTTTGAATGCGCGTGAATGCGTGCGTCCGTTCGCGCGAGCGTGCATGCATGCGTGCGCGCGTGCGTGCGTGCGTGCGCCTTACGTACGATAGCACGCTGACGACTGGCACCTCGACGGTGCCTCTACGGCTTCCCGAGCTGAGCCAAAGTATGAATGGGTGCCCCCACCACCGATCCCGTCCCTTTTGCTTTTGCTTTTGCTACGGAGCCGAGGCGCAACGCGCGCCTAACCCCCACCCCTCTCGACTCCCTCCATCGCGAACTCCTTTTCACCTACGACTACGAAGCGCCCGGGAGAACGTGAGAGAAGGAGAAACTTGCCAGCTAAGCGATGAAACAACGGTATGGGGACCGGGGAGAAGACGGCCAGGTACGCATAGTGGGGACCTATGCTCCGTCTGTATCTCTCTCCCTCCCTCCCTCCCTTCCTCCCTTCCTCCCTCCCACCCTCCCATCCTCCCACCCTCACTCCCAACACGCTCGCTCGCTCACTCAACTCACTCACTCTCTCACACACGCTCTCTCTCTCTCTCTCTCTCTCTCTCTCATTCTCTCGCTCTTTCACTCGTTCGCTCGTTCGCTCGTTCACTTGCTCCCTCCCTTCCTGGGACATCATCATCCTCCTCCTCCTCCTCCTCCTCCTCCTCATCCGCCATCTCCTCCTCCTCTACGTCGTTTTCCTCCTCCCCCTTCTCCTCCTCATCCTCCTCCTTGAAC